TGATGGTATGTTGAAATTAAACGACAAAAACCACATGGTGTTCCGTCAGAAGTGAGTCTTCTGTCTATATTGTATCTGCCATATTAAATCCGGTTCATAGTGAAATAAATAAGATTTCAATAAACTACCTAATACAAACCCTTTTTCCACCATAAACGAATTATAAACAAGATCTTTATTACATATAAAAATATATTCTGGCAATTCTTATAGATTGGACTATTGCCTAAAGTGCTAAAGATCGGTATTTCTTTCTATAAATTTCAGATATATTTTGGTAATTTTTTTTTATTTTCATAAAATGCTTTGTAATCCAACTATATTTTTATCATATTTAGATGTTTGTGTTCATAGTAATGTATAAACTCTGAATTAACTAACTTATAAAGTTTTTTAGTAAAATTTACTAAATATGCTGTTTCCAAGGTACTTGTAGAAAATTTAAAAATCGAACAACATCCCGTCTGTCAGTTTAGCTGGTATCAAAATAAAAGGATATAAATAACAATTTATTTCGAACGTCATTCGCATACAAGCAATCAGACTGGTTTTCTATTATAATTTAATTTTAATTAATACATACTCAACATATATTTGATCACAAACGCTTATCTGACTCATTCACACTTACACATTCATACCCTTAAGACTTAACTAAACTAAATAACGATTCACGTCATTATGACTTTTAATTGCATAACTAACTTTATTGTCTTGATAAATATCAAATGGATATCATTTCATTATATATTGTCCAAGTGGAATACAGAAATCGAGTAGGTATAGATACTTAGGCTTATCTATAGAAATAAATACCTATGAAATGCTTTTCACCCACGTATAATATTCTATTTTATGGTCGATTACAACCATATTTGACTAAAAATGCACTAAAAATATTGTATTTCTGGCGCATTATATTTCCTGCGTAGAAATAAGTAAATACCTATATACTACAGAATGCCATGGTGTACCACTTCCACCATAGTATTAAAATAATTTAGTGAAATTTCTAAGTAGAATCGAATGAGGCCCCATAGAATAAGGCCCGTATTTTATTTTTACGAGTCAGAACATGTTTCACGGTGACGAGTTTACGAAAAACAAGTCACCGTCAAACATGTTCATTTGCCGCTCAAATGCCTATAGAAATCACTGCTTATGAATAGTTTCAGTTTGTCCCACGTAAACAAAGATCACACCAGACAAAATATTTATTTATTTATTTCCTTTAAAAACAACATAATGTCGCATAATGTCGTCCTTTACTTGTAAAACTACTTAATAAATGAGTCGCATACTCCAAAGATTTTCATTAATATCTTGATTTGATACTTTATGATAATGACGCACGGTAGACTAAAACCTGTTTGATCGTCACAGCTTGATCAATATTGTATTGTATAGCAAATGTTAGGAATATAACTTTTAATAACCTCAAGATATCATTTTATAGATGTCAGATAAATAGAGATCATATTCGTAATTTTATTTTTAATTTTTCCCTTGGCGTTACGTAGAGAATAAATCCTGCATTCTCTATCGCATATATCACGGAGAGTGCTCCGATAAATTGTTCGGACTAATACCAGCCGCAACTTTACGCCATCGTTCCACACGGCAAAATTATCATCCTCATCACTTGGATAGTTGGCGCTCCCCTACCAATCTGTGGAACCGGTTATCTTCTGCGGTATTAAGAGAAAAGAGAAGAAAAGAGCGCCTTCCTTCCTAAAAGGCCGGCAATGCGTTTATGACTCCTGAGTTGCAGACGTTCATGGGCGGCGATGGTCACTTTCCATCATGTGACCCGTCTGCTCGTCTGCCCTCTCTAACATAAAAAAAATGTAGCCTTATATTCCTACTTAAATGTTTATACCTTCCCCTTTATTTTCTCCAGAGCTTATTCTCTAACATCAGGTTATTTAGAGTTGACCCTCCTTATTCTTTCCTTTTACATATTTTGTTGTGAAGCGTTAAATCGACTTTAAATTTTTTTACTCGATTCACTTAGAGGCATAATGAAAGAAAGAAATTCCTTTATCAATCAAGAAGAAATTAAAAAGGGTTAATAGAAAATCAAAAATACTGCTTATGTGGATAAATCATTTGTGTGGATTGTGATTTTGCAAAATGTAGTACCTCGAGTAAGCAATCTGTATGCACATGTAAAACTGTAGGTACGAGTAGTTGTGTCTTTCAATTCCATTCAATGATCATTTCTATGAAGTGCTAATAAATTGTTCCTTTTTTTCTGTACAAATGTAGTGAACAAGAAAAAATAGTAATACTGCTCTTCTAAACGTGATTCGTCGATGTCAATTAACTTTTCCTTGTCAAGACTTGATCAACATTATAGATTTAATAATAATGTGTGAAATCTTAGTTTTCATTTTTTGACATATGGTACCTACGTGTCATCACTTCACTGTGAAGTCGTATGCATATATTATACTCTAATGATGGTATGTTGAAATTAAACGACAAAAACCACATGGTGTTCCGTCAGAAGTGAGTCTTCTGTCTATATTGTATCTGCCATATTAAATCCGGTTCATAGTGAAATAAATAAGATTTCAATAAACTACCTAATACAAACCCTTTTTCCACCATAAACGAATTATAAACAAGATCTTTATTACATATAAAAATATATTCTGGCAATTCTTATAGATTGGACTATTGCCTAAAGTGCTAAAGATCGGTATTTCTTTCTATAAATTTCAGATATATTTTGGTAATTTTTTTTTATTTTCATAAAATGCTTTGTAATCCAACTATATTTTTATCATATTTAGATGTTTGTGTTCATAGTAATGTATAAACTCTGAATTAACTAACTTATAAAGTTTTTTAGTAAAATTTACTAAATATGCTGTTTCCAAGGTACTTGTAGAAAATTTAAAAATCGAACAACATCCCGTCTGTCAGTTTAGCTGGTATCAAAATAAAAGGATATAAATAACAATTTATTTCGAACGTCATTCGCATACAAGCAATCAGACTGGTTTTCTATTATAATTTAATTTTAATTAATACATACTCAACATATATTTGATCACAAACGCTTATCTGACTCATTCACACTTACACATTCATACCCTTAAGACTTAACTAAACTAAATAACGATTCACGTCATTATGACTTTTAATTGCATAACTAACTTTATTGTCTTGATAAATATCAAATGGATATCATTTCATTATATATTGTCCAAGTGGAATACAGAAATCGAGTAGGTATAGATACTTAGGCTTATCTATAGAAATAAATACCTATGAAATGCTTTTCACCCACGTATAATATTCTATTTTATGGTCGATTACAACCATATTTGACTAAAAATGCACTAAAAATATTGTATTTCTGGCGCATTATATTTCCTGCGTAGAAATAAGTAAATACCTATATACTACAGAATGCCATGGTGTACCACTTCCACCATAGTATTAAAATAATTTAGTGAAATTTCTAAGTAGAATCGAATGAGGCCCCATAGAATAAGGCCCGTATTTTATTTTTACGAGTCAGAACATGTTTCACGGTGACGAGTTTACGAAAAACAAGTCACCGTCAAACATGTTCATTTGCCGCTCAAATGCCTATAGAAATCACTGCTTATGAATAGTTTCAGTTTGTCCCACGTAAACAAAGATCACACCAGACAAAATATTTATTTATTTATTTCCTTTAAAAACAACTATTATTACAGGTTTAGCCCAATGCAATAGTGTTATACCATCTACTTATTTATTATAAGAAATAATTCTTAATGCTAATATATACTAAATATATACTTAAGTGTAGATTTTGACATAAACATCGTTCAGAAAAAAAGCTATTACTCACTCGAGTTTAGATCTGTGAATTTTCTTGTAAGTGACTTTCAATAAGAAAATGACTATTTCAAAACAATTTTCAGATTACATTCAAGACTGAGACACCTTTCAAAACACGGTTAGGCAAACTTACACTTTTGTACAATTAACTATTCAAGTGACTTTCTATGACCTTCCGTTGCATAACCCACTTCAATTTCTTCATCAATTTAATTGATATTATCTGATTCTTTTGTCCAAGAGCAATATCGCACTCAAATACGTCCAACCGGTTTTTTATATTAACTAACACAAACTACTTTATTTATATTAAGCAATTACCTGAAAACGCCTTTACAGGGAGTAAACGGTGCGGTAACCGCGTATGGCTCTAACCGCCAATATCCTCTGAGTGCGCCAGAGGCCCTATTCTGGGCGGTCAGAGCCGCCGCTCATAGCGGTGCACCATACAGTGCCATAAACAATAAGAACACCTTATTTAACCTTTTAAGTTAACAAGTTAAAATAAGGTTATCTTTTTTTAACTTGAGTTGACACCATCATGTAATCACATATTTCATTGTAAATGTTAGCCAGTACGTACAATCTGGTCGAAATGAAATTACAGACAACTTAAAGGGATGTAATACCTACGTATCATGGAATACGAAACTTTAATAAAACATTATCTTGATAAAATGCACTGTTTTGCTGTCGAAAAAGAAAATCAATTTTATAATTTTATAAATTGTTATTATACAAAATCTTTAGATGCATGATAATATAGTTTGTTATCAGAAGATAACAAACTATCTGATAAACTGAAAAATACTGCCAGATGCAATTCAAACTTAGAAACTTTAAATTGCGTCTGGCAATATTTATCAGTTCTTATCGAAAATTATACCAAATAAAAAATCTATTATAATTCACAATTGTGTCAACCTGTCCTCCATGACATGGTTGCACCCAGTTATGACCCAGTGGTGTTCAAAGCGCATAGTGTTGTAGAGCGTCATTGCTAAAAATTTAGCTATGTTGTCTTTCTCTGATTGCCATATAGGGTCATGGAATTCAATAAGCGTTTCTTTGTCTTTGAGTTTAAAATACATAGGTATATTAGTACAATGTTAATAGAATTCAATTCAATTCATTTATATTTTTTATTATTATAGGATAAAATGGCAAGATTAATTTTCATAGCAATAGTCTGCTGTGTCGCGAATACCATAGCTCTTCCGTACCAACAGGCAACTACGAAAAACTGTAAGTATAGTAATTTTAAACATTACTTTTATTTCAATGAGCTTAAAAAACTTTTAGTTCAGAAGTAACAAAGTCCTTTCCCAACATTACCCGCAAAGGAGAGTAAATGACTTTGAGTTCAATCCAAAGGGATTTTATTTCCTTCACTTCAGACGTAACCTCTCAACAATTGTTTTACTAAAACAAAAAGGTTCTTCCCTTTATGCAAGTGACACAGTAGAATTATCAATTTCATTTAATATACAATAAGATGTGATACTTCTAGCGAATATAGTGCAGACGTAGACGACGAAATACGTTTGGCTTAAGAATACCTTCATACAGATATGGTACAACAAGAACAAAATGTAAACAAGTACATTAAATCTGCCAGTTTGTTCAGTTTTTTCGAATTCCTACAAAGTTATGATGGTAACAATTCATTCAGGAAATTGTGTTTCATTGACAATAGTGTGAAGTAGTATTTGGATTCGGGGCTTTACTAACAATTCATGTTTACCTAACTTTTATTCCACATGGCACCGCAAAACCATTGTGGTTTCGGTTTGTCAATAGTGTGTATTAAGTATTTCTTTAGTTTCAAGGAAATTTGCGGAAAGTATTTTTGCCGTAAAGGAGAATCAATCGCCAAAAAGCCCTTTGAGAATAAATAAGATAGTGTTTGTTTTTTTTTAAATTTTAATTCGGGTTTTGTTCAAGATTTAAAACAAGTGGAATTAATACTGTCGTTAGAAAAGCATGCACAAAAAAAATGATATTTTTTTGTCACCTTCCAAGTCGTTTTATGGTCTCAGTTAGTATTGATAGCCGTCAGCCCATTCTACCAAAATCGCTTTCAGGCGTATTCAGGCATCTGCGCCTGATTAGACGGAAAAGTCTGAGACTTCTAACTACATACGATTGTTTGTAGTTAGAAGTCTCAGACTTTTCCGTAACAGCTTGTTTGAGTCATAGGTGTGGGTCTCTGACTAAATTGAGCTACTGCTTGACTCTTAGGAAGTCTAAACCCATACAAACCAGAAATATTATAAATTCCCTCTTACCTTCCTTTCCTTTCATTATACCTTCTTACTCCCTATTTTCTAATCTAATTCCTAACGTGGGAATAAATGTACCCTAATAGGGCCTGCCTAATGTTAATCTGTTACCTTTAAAAGAACAGGTAATTCTATTTATGCGTTTTCGGCAAAAACAAACAAGTTGAGACAGTACTTAAGTCTTAATCCTGGTACTTAGTCTTAAGTCGAGCAGTTCTTAATAAAGAAAACCTCAAATCAACAATGAAAGAAAGAAAGAAAAAATGTAACCACCGTGTTCTTTTGCAGCATATTCATTCCCCTTCGTATCACGTGCTGAGTGGGGAGCAAACCCTGCAAGCTCGACTATAAATCTTGCAAGACCAGTACCATTGGTAGTGATACATCACACTGCCATACCAGGAGAGTGCCGTACTAGGAGTGCTTGTATAAACAGTATGAGGTCCATGCAAGTTGCACATCAAAGTGGCAACGGGTGGTCTGATATTGGGTACAAGTAAGTACAAACATATTCGAAAATTATTAAGAGAAAAGTCTTACCACAGATAGAGAAATTGCCGACCAATCTAGGTAAATATGTCTGGCCAAGCATATCTCAAAAGTGGGGTAGTCTAATGAGAAAATAAGTAATGACTAGGTACGTCAAGGTAGGTTCATAAAAAACAAGCTATGAAATATTACATAAACATTATACCTCCATTATGATAGTCTCATCAGATTAAACATGAAAGAAAAAAAAAAATATTATAATAATATAAAATAAATATTATAAATATTTTTAAGAGTACATAGTAAGGCCTACAATAAGATGGATTGACGGTAAGAAAGATGACATAGAAAGAAATTATGTGGGTATGCGCAATAATAACATTTACGTTGGCTTTGTACTTTATAGTGTTTAAACTCGTAACTTTCTCTGTTTCTTTTTAAAAAAAAGACAACTCTTGCACTAGGAATATATCCTGTGTCGCGGGGGACTTTTACAAACATACATGAAATGGACACAAAGAACATCCAGACTCAAAACGACAATTTGTGGATCTTACAAAGTGGCGTCCCATGTGGGGATCGAACCCACAACACTCAGCCAAGTAGGAATCGGCGAGGTTACCGCTTAAACCATTACGACACCCGTGCAGTCTTTAATCCTTAAGTGTTAAAAAATCCGTCTAAAAATGTACAGTGGGTTACGTTCTACATTCAAACATAATTCTCATAATTAACTGTGCCTAAGCTGTTCAAAGTTACCATTATGTTGTAGACTAATTGTGGAAGCTTGTTATTGGCATTTATTGATCTATTTGTATGTAGCTGTAAGTTTCTCTAAGAAAATAAAATAAGATAAGTGATTTAGGTTTAAGTATAAATTTGCTGCAAGTATTCTGACTCAATTCACTATGATTTTTTATTTGGTTCAGCTTCGCTGTGGGTGGTGACGGAGCGGTGTACGAGGGCAGGGGCTGGACAACGGTAGGCGCACATGCTGTTTCGTTTAATAACAGAAGTATTGGTATTGCTCTCATTGGAAATTTTGTTAGTAAGTATATTTTTGTGTGTTTCTTTATTGAGTTTCTCGCTCTAATTTCAATGTTCTGCCCTTGTCCTTCATGCATCGTGTACCCTTTTACGTGTACTTATCAATATATCCTCTCGAAACCTATCTTATCTAGTTCATTATTATTTCCAAGCATAGGAATCGTTTGCCATCTGTTGCATTTATCGTCCAACAGATGTCGGTTCATGAGATGGGTACATTTCACCTAGAATAAAGTAGGCACTGTTCTCGAGGCATACCCAAATTGGTTGTGTTAAGAGACAAAATCTACTAATAAGCTACCGGCAAACGCTGTTACTTTATATTTAGATTCCAAATGTTAATTTAACGTAAAAGACAATAATTATATTTGCATTCCAGTTAACTTTAAGTTTATTTTAGTTAAAATAACATTACTTTAATCCTTGACGAATTCCTTCCAGCGAGAATTCCACCTGCAAATCAAATGCAAGTTTTAAAACGGTTAATAGCCGAAGGCGTGCGACTTGGCCACATTTCGCCATCATATGGACTCATAGGTCATCGGCAAGTTTCTGCTACGGAGTGTCCTGGTACAGCATTCTTCAACGAGCTCCGAAAATGGGACAGATTCCAGGCTACTCTTTGAAATAAAATAAATTGACGATGGACTGCATTATTATAATTCTATTACTTTTACTCCATTCCTCATTGAACATAATCATAAGAACTTCACACATCTCACATAAGGCGGTCTGATCCCAAACTTGACAAAGGCTGAACTATCGTAATACAACTGCTCCGGAGGTCTTAAACTGTTCCCGGATCCCTCCTATTTCTGGCGCCAAATTATTACACCGTGTGGTTTTAGTTGGTTTGATTCCGACATACCACCCCATCGCAAACCCCGGTGAGATGACGGCCTGAGGGGGTTTCCACACGTAAAATAAAATGGTAATTGCTGAGAATCATACTTAGGTATTTCTAAAGACATATATTATAGATAAATTACACTCAGACACAGAACAAATGATCATGCTCATCACACTATTATGTCCTACTGGGACTCGAAACCACGTCCTCTGGCTTAGCGGTCTAGACTAGAATAAGACCTAATATATGGACATGACGGATTAATTCAGTTTGTAGTGCATAACAATACTTTGGGCATTGTTTATTTATATGTTGTAATTTATATTCAAAAATCCGATACCGATCGTAAATGCACGGAGACGTTTATACTTTGTTTTTTTTTTTTTAATTTAAATTATTCCTCAATCCAGTCCAGGAAGCAATTGTCAAGTGTATGGAGGCAAGGAAATAAAATTGTGGAGGAACGAGTAAAATATCCCTCCAACAAAAATCCTCTGACCAGCGAGATGATCGTGCCTGAGGGCTTAGGCCCAGCGTTTGATGTTTAAAAGTTGTATATATATTATGCTAATCGGCGAGGGAATTGTTAATATTACGACAGGATTAGCTTTTACTCCGTAGTTCGTTGTGTTAGCGTTAGATGGCGCTGCAGTACGAGTATGTCTCTTCGTTTCATGGTATGTGCAAGTCGCCACATCACTTCCCTCCAAGAACGAAGGTCGATGTATGATGAGTCAGCTGTCCAAGCTCTCTCGTGCAGCGTGCCAGTGCCAGTGGTAAGTAGTTCCAGTGAGTTGGAACTGAGTGCCGCTGGTTCCAGTGAGTCGATAATGTATTCCGTTTTATTTGACAAGAAGCAGCCTTGTCATTAAAAAAATCTTTGATGCTAAAGCAAGATTTTTGTACTAATTTGTGTATGAAAAAAAAGGTATAATTTTCCTAAACCGGTACTGCGTGAGGGTGTCAAAACATATTTATAATCATCTGGTATTTAAAAAAAATGTTTTATAATTTTAACTTTAATCAAAACAAAATCTTTATTTTATGTTCCATGTTCCACTAACAATTTGCTTATTTATTTTGTTAGATATAAACTTTAAAAAAGACATTAACCCAGAACCTTAGATATCCTAATTAATGCAAATAGGAAAGTATTATAAATAGGTAAGTGAGCTTGTTTGTTTATTTTTTAGTAAACTTTTTTAACTACTCATCATGAAATTTAACATAAACTCTGCCAGGATCCGTATAAACTATAAAAGCAATATACAAATCATACGATTGCTGTCCCTTCTTATTAGCCTGTACTTTTCGGTTTGCTCCAAACTTGAACATCTAATTCTTGCCTCGTTGACGGAAATAGGATTGCCTTTATTATGTAGGTGGGACGATTTCTAGTTGGCAAGGCTACCTAGGTGTAAGTTTAAAGTACAATCGTATTAAAGCTATGACTTTATGACTAATAAATAAGTAATAACAAACTATGGTTTTTAATTTCGCAATAATATGGCTTTTGAACAGTGTTTTTTCTTATCTTTTATTTTTATGTATCCTACAATTTCGTTCGTTACCCGAATATTTAATATCGAACGCCCGTAGCACACCGCTCCCGCCAAATCAGTAGCACTGTAGCAGAGACCGCAGTAGTTACGCAGTGACTTCTCCATTATAGGCTGAGGTGGAAATATTCTGATTTTAAAAGTGATGACATATTGCTTCGATTCCTGCTGTTCTAATTAGAAATATTTAATATTTACAGTAACAGAGCGAAACAAAATTTATTTTGCGGTTTTACTGCTATGGTTTTGTGAGGAACGTCTGCTAGAAATCGGAATAATATTATAACAGATTTTGAGATGAAATTTAACACGAAAATATTTAAATCCAAAGATATTGCACTTAAAACATTATTTATTTTAGCCGTTTGTGACATATTTTTAATAATAATTTTGATATTTAAAATAGACTGCAACTTAAGAAGAAACAGGTAATCACTTCGCTCAAACCATATTAAAATACTATAATGAGTTCAAATTTATATTTCTCATATTAATCAAAATTGTTGTTTGTTGTACTACTACCTACTACATACAGCTACTACATACAGCTACAACATACGAGTACTACATATGAAGCCTCTGCAACAATAGGTTGCACTGATAAATGTACGAGTAAAATCTGTATATGGTACAGGCTAAGAAAGTTCAGATCGAAAAAAAACTAACTGGTTTTTCAACGCGATGATTCGAGTAAAAGTATTAGTTTAAAAAAAATACTTTGGAAAAAAACGGTTTTTGGCAAAAAAATCGAATGGTGATTTTGTTGATTGAATAAAAGTATGGCAAAAACAATTTTAATGGAAAATCAAAAAAATAGGATGTTGTAATGTGAGATAAACTTTACGAAAAGTCACGCTTTTATCTCAAAATATCGCAATTTACGCCCTTCATTTGCTTGAAATCTGTTCGAGGCTTCAATTATAGCTTTTAGTATTGTTTTTTTGTAAACAAATTTTCGTCGCAAAATAATAGGTATTTAGTTTGTAATGTTTGTTTAGTTGTAATAGTAATGTAAAAATAGTGGCTGCCGAAAAACCGTTCAAAATCGGTAAGAAAGCATCCAACGACGATAAGAAATTGCATTTTTTCGTTAAGAGTTGCCCAACAACGGAAGCAGAGGAAGCATGAGCATGATAATTTGTTTTTTTTGCGAGGTAGAGAGTTCCCCCACTCTGCTGCTTCCTAGGAGAGCTCGCGGAAAAATCGTTGAATTTTCTTTGTGTTTCCTCCATCTAAAACGACTAGCTTTCTCTATATTATGTGAAAATTAAAATGTTTCTTACTAAAGACACAAGACGTCTAAATTAGACATTGACTTTGTTCTTTCGGAAATTATTTCTTTTTATTCAAAATTAAAAGTTGGTGATTGACAACTACGTAGCTTAAAATGACAACGAGAAAAGAATAGCAGCTATTTTTAGATGCTGTTCTTAGCATAATCTCTTACGAACCAAAGAAGAATATGGCAGTAGGTCTAAGGCAACAGAATGATTCCTACTGCCATAATCTTATTAATTTTCTTTGTCTGTCTTCGGTTACTGCTTTGCTGTTTCAGTATAAAGGATAGGGTTAAAGTTGGAGATTTTTAAACCCGTTTCACATTTAATTATCTGTGGATTGCATCGCAATTCTAAATTCAAATAAAATTTGCTCGAAGCTATCGCTGTTGTAAATTAGGAATATCAGTGTAGGGGTGGTGAATGACCTCTTTTGCCATGTTATCTGGGGCCAACTACAGTCGACCGTCATGCCAAATGGGTTTCTCTGAATTAATAAAATAATGATAAAGAATGCACATACGTGTTGTATAACTTTTAATTTTCTGACGACTGTTAGGTATTTGCATAACAAGGATGTTGATAAATGTTTAGGTACTGTTTTTATTTCATATATTACGTTATTTAACAGAAATAAATCTAAAAAACGAACAACAAAGTGAAAATGTAAAGTTACTTTAAATTATATTATGATACCAAGTATTAATCTTTAATTGTTAAGTTTCGGATTGGTAGTTAGTATTTTTTTCCACGGTTTAGTAAATCACTTATTACACTACAAAAGCGAGGCATGATGTCGCTAACCCGTATTTATTTAATAATTATTATCATAAGATTAATTTACATATATACATATTTGTATATGTGTCATTAAACATCTCTCAAAAGCTCAAACAAATGAGAAATATCTATTTGCGTATATACTAAGTATTCTTTTTCTAATAAAACACAAATATTTGTAAAGTAAATAAATAAATACCTAAAAGTATTTGTAGAACAATAGTTTTAGTTAACCAACAAATCTGAGTTTAACTAACTTTTATAACTTTTGTGTTTCGTAATATATAATTGTTTTTATATCAATTATCGCGCTCATAATAGGTTTAGGGCAAGTCAGCCTGGGATCAGGGCCTGTGCAACCAGAGCCTTAATTCTGCTATTTTATGCTAACGCCAAGCCTCTGTCTTTCCATTGCCACGCTATTGAGATGCCATTGACATCGGTCAAAATATCAGTATTCTACTAACATAAATTCACAGTGTCAATAGACTGTCGATATAAACTCGGTTCCAAAAATAACGGGTCAGTCACATAAACCCGAATATCTCCCGAACTACGTATGCCATCCTAATGAAACGAAGACTGTTCAATTGAGAATTTAATTATACAGATAAAAAATAAAATAAAACTTAAATCTAAACTCTCTAACTCTTAACTTATCTCTAAATTAAAAAAAAAAACTAAAGTAGTCATATTTTTCTTAAGATTACATTTTTTTATGATTGTTTTTTTGCTGTTTTTCATCACTTTCTTCATTTAATACTTTGTATTGCCTCCACGAGCTCTTTTGACAGCTTCCAGGCGATTAGGCATGCTGTACACCAAATTTCGGAGCCGGTGCTGAGGAATACCTTCCCATTCCTACACCAGTGCTTGTTTGAGCTCGGGAAGCGTGATTGGTGGGGGGGTTTCGACCTTTCACGCATCTCCGAAGCTCGTCCCAGGCGTGCTCGATGGGGTTTAAGTCCGGGCTTCGCGCTGGCCACTGCATGAGTTCGATACCGACCTCTTCAAGGTAGTCATGTACAATTCTGCCGGTATGGGGACGCGCATTATCATGCATTAATATGCCATGCCCGTCCATCCTGGCCATGAAAGGACCTACATGTTCATTGAGGATCTCTTCCACGTACCTCTCTGCATTTAGAGTTCCATTTTGAATGAGTACCAGCTCGGTGCGGGCCTCAGTAGAAATCCCAGCCCAAACTTGTACGGAGCCTCCACCGTACGCCACTTTTTCCTCCACACATGCTTGATGGAAGCTCTCCCCTGGTCTTTTGTACACCAACTGCCTACCATCATGTTTATAAAGCATGAATTTAGACTCGTCCGTGAACATTACCCTAGACCGATCGTCTAGTGTCCAGTTTAGGTGCTCGCGCACGTGTCTCTGTCTTGCAATTCGATGTCCCCGTTCCAGTTTGGGGCCATTTGCAGGCCTCAATGGTTTCAAATTTGCTTCAGCAAGACGTCTTCCGTTGTGCATCTTGGTCTGCCATTTGCTGGTCTTCTAAGGTGTGATCCGGTCTATTGGTACCGCTGGACTACCCGCTGAACAGTCGACAAAGATACACCAATGTTTCTGGCTGTTTCACGCTGGCTCCGCCCAAGTTCCAAAAAAGTTAGGATTCTGGTACATTCCTCTAGCGTGACTGCCATGCTTCACCTCACAGAATAATAATTATGCACGTGGAAGACGTTCTCGATAAATTTTTTTGTGACAGAATAGAAATGGAAAGCATCTATAATGAAATGAAACAAAAATTTTGTCTTTATTCTGTTTTTTATTTCATTGATCTAACTTTTACAGTTCTGGAGGTATTTCAATTTTTGTGACTGACCCGTAATTTTTGGAACCGAGTGTAGTAATAAAGGTCATCAATGGTGATATCATAAACTTTGCCATATCTGGCAAATTAGATATATCACTTTCTTACAAAATTTAAATGTACCGTTTATCTAACTGTTACCACCAAAACACCAAACTGTTACTGTTGTCTTATCGACGACATTTGTATCAGTGACAAGTCATCGGGAGCCCATCGGTCTTACATAGTTAGTAAAATAGAAAAAGTGCAAAACTATTCCAACGACATTCCATCGACAGTCTATTGATACAATATTAAAATAGCAGAATTGAGGCCCTGCTCGAAACATCATGCCAATTGAAAGGTATACTTTAGTACTTAATACCTATAGTGAGTGCGTTAATTCCCTAAATATATATATATATATATATATATATATATATATATATATATATATATATATATATATAAGTCTAAATTAAGCTGGTATATACATTACTTTAAAGTAAAAACTGTAATATTTGTATAAATAATAATTAATGAGAATTCTTGTTCCTTCAATTCGCTCAAAATACTCTGCAATATTATACTATTTTTTGTGAGTTAACAACGTGAAGTAAAAATATTTAATAATGCAATAGTAGTTGTATACGGTATTATATTATGAATCTAACAAAACTCTACGTTATTTATTAGTTTATTTATGGTTCTAATTCTATTACAACTTATGGAACAGTTATGTATTGTAAAATAAAATTCATTTTAGCTACACGTATTGCCATCCCGTTATTTTTGTGTTCTTTTATTTTTCATTTATTAATTTTCAACTCGGTTGAGCATCAAATACTTATAACTTTCTTCACAGATTCAGGTAACTCTGTAACATTTAGAAGATCTTTATGTGATCTTGGGAAAGGCGAGTAATGACCCCACGACTGGATCTCTTCAAACAGAGACGTACCAGGGCACTCAGTGGCTCTAACTTGGCGATGACCAACCAGTTTGTATTCGGGTTGTATGTAGCCTTGTTGTACACCAGCTGCTATTAAATCCTTAGCTGTTTTCAGTTGTTGTGCTGGAGGAACTTCAACTATAAAAGAAAATATGAATTATACTTAATATTCAAATTCATATTTTGAATGCTGTCATTCGATTCTCACTTTAAAAAAATATCTTAATACCTACCCATGTGTTCAATTTTACTATAATATTTAAATACCTATATTTCAATTTTTTCATAAATATATGACAAATTACAATCTAAACAAAAACTAAAAAGTCGAAAACTCGGTAACGTTACTAATATTCTTACAAAGACACTTTAAAACTTCACAATTAATTTCGTGTTTATGATTCTCGGTTAACATCTCTGATATGTACAGAAGTTGGAAAATAATCTATTAAACATTAGGTTTCTGAAAGCTCTTTCCTTTTTAAAATTGTGGAATTTTCGGGATTCAATTACTTTCTTTATTTCAGATAGAGAGAATTTTTTTCTAAGATAAGAAAACAATTTTAGAGAATTAGAATAGAAGATCGTAATCGGGTAAAAAAGGGGTACGGCAGTGTTATGTAATACTCACATCTCCAGTCTCCAATAAGACAGATCCCAATACTGACACTGTTGAAATGCAGCGCTTGCGCCCCTAAAGTTTCCCAACCGCGGCCTTCGTACGCTGCGCCATCACTACCTACACAGAAACTGTAAAATATTCTTTTATCATCGTCAGTCACTTTAAAATCTTGTATACGATATAATGATTTATATATTACATAAATGAACTAGTAAAAAGTATCCAAAAAAATCTATTGCATCTGTCTATTAAAGTCCGTGAAACTAGAACTTTTCAGGATTTTAATATTCATCAATCGTCTGTCTCTAACGGCTTCTTCATGAAATTCCTGTTTTCTTTTATTAATATATTAAACACTACCTTTTATTTTCTGATTCACTTGCCTTAATGTAGGTTTAATTATTGGAGACAACACGTAAAGCATAAACACGAAATGAGAATGAGTGGCATTTTTTTATTCCTTAAAAAGATAACTTCCGCATTCAGCTGGTATCGCGGGGGAATTCACAGACATTTTTGAAACGGATACAAAGAGCACCCAGACTCAGAACAACAATTTGTGGATCACACAAAGTGTTGTCCCAGTTGGGAATCGAACCCGCCTCGGGATCTCGCGCAATCGGGAAGGTAAATGCTTAAACCACTACGCCACTAATAGAATAAATACTGTGCAGTCACAGCATTTATTCTATTAATTCAAAAAGGTTATTTTAAAAACTTACTGATATCCAATATCCCACCATCCATTACCGTCAATGTGCATTTGTTGCATTTGTCGCATCGCTGCCGCGCACTCCTCCTTGTTGAAGCAGGCTGCTGGGATGTATGTGTGATGAATTACCACATATGGGACTGGTGTGTTGAGTGGCGTTGTCTGTTTGGGCTCCCTGGCATACCAATCGCTTCGACTTATGAAAGGGAAGTTGTAAGAGATGACCTCATTGCTTAACGGCTTATCTAAAAGAAATAACATTATTGTTTAAAGAAAGAGCATTAATTTGTATGTACCAAATAATTAACAGGCAGGTCAGGTGGGTAGTCGATAAGCTCGCGTGTGACCGCTAGAGCTCCGCAGCGCCGGAGCCGTGACAGATATGCTGCATGCTGCAATCTTGCTTGCATGCTGCGTGCTTGCCTGCATGAATGATCTATGCTTGTTTGCATGCTTCTTATAAGGAAATAAAAACTAAATCCGTCGCGAACAATATATGCGTTCAATCAATCAATTTTAATTTTATGGTAAGAAATACAAAATTATGGATAGACAGTCTTTCAATTGTTATAGATATAAAATATATGCCAAAAGATGATTCGCACTGTAAACTTTCTGAGATATAATAGTTCTGCCTTTTAATAACTATTGATATGAAATTTATGCTCAAAAACGATGTTTCTGTTAGTAGTTGGTTTACGACGTTAGTGCATAGAGTGCAACTTAATAATAATAATAATATATCGCTTTAATGGACATCAAATATAAATATACAATAATTATCTTAAACTAGGTTAGACAAGTATAAGTGGCGACCTTATCGCTCAGAGGCAACCGTGGTATGTAGAGAAAATATTAGGAACATTAGGAAATAGAAAAAAAGAGGAAATAAAATTAGTACTCGTATATATAAAATTATAGAAAAAGTGATAATTACACATAGTATCTATTTGTTGGACTTAGGTGAATATATAAAATACTAGAGGGAATATACTATGTGCTAAATACCTAGGACTAGTGGTGTCATTAGATACATATAATTAAATAAATACTTGTGATTTATGAGTACTAAATACATATATTATAAGAAATAATGTGACCTTATTGACTTAATAGAAATTAATAATTACAGGACATTGAAGTTTCATAGGTAGAATTCGTTCACTTGTTTTTTAAAGGAAGCAAGTACTTTTGCACGTCTGATTGCGACCGGTAGGGCGTTCTACAACCGAACTGCTTGAACTGAGAAGGAGACATCGAGGAATTTAGTGGAATACAGTGGAATGGCATTTTTAGTTTCTGGTTCTCTGATTGTTTCAAAAGTTTGCGGTGTGTGTCATTCAAGAACGCAAACCGTAAATTTGAGGTAACGTCGAGTAAAAGTATTAAATATAATATTGTAGAGAAGATAAAGAATATGTGCATTCCGGCGAAGACGAATGGATATACACTTGAGCTTTTTGCGATATTCAGAAACATGATCATATTTGCGAAGTCCAAATATAAATCTTATGCAGAGATTTTGGAGTCTCTCATGCTTATTCAGTATGTCTTCAGTGAGATCTAGATTTTTAAATAATAAATAAGTTAGTGCGGTTTCAAAATAATACTTAGCAATGAAAGCCTCTACAATACACTAAATTTGGTAACTTCTTTTAGTGTTCGTTCAAACAGTCTTGACGTTTAGTGTAAGTAATATTATTAACTGACAGCAAGATAATAATCGTCATTGTAGTTTAGGTACATAATAAAAATCTGGAGCATCAATTTATGACCAGGAGCATGATTTATGATTGCGTGTTTGACTCAAATATTTTACAATAACATCATATATATATACATCGGATCGATAACAAAACTAGTCACGTGAAATGAAGCGTCTAAAATACGTATTGATACTGGCTGATAGCATCAGCCAGTATCAATACGCATATGATATCTGGCAAACAGTTTATTTTGGATACGTATTTTATTTTGTTATTAATCTATTGTTTATATACTTCTGGTTCCCGCAACTTCACTTGTAAGTTTTTAAAGGTTTTTCAAATTTTTTATAATATTTTTTAAAAAGCGGGCCATACTAAGTATCCACCTCGTGTACCGTATAATAAACGTCGCAATTCGACTCCGCACCAAAGTCGAGGTATGGGTATACGGATTGCGAGGCTTAAGTGGAGATGGGCGGGGCACTTGGCCAGACGTAATGACGACCGATGGACCAAGGCAGTTACCGAAAGGTGGCCAAGAGATATGATGGTCAGACTACATTGTGAGAGCGGTAGGAGAGCAATGGATTCGGCTGGCGCAAACCGCAAAGAGAGGCGTGATAGAGAAGAGGCCTTTACCCAGCAGTGGGTGCAATAGGCTGCTTAGATAAATAGATAGATTTATTAAGTAAAGAGCTTAGTGTTGTCTATTACCATAAAAAGGTTTTTCCACTGTCTTCCAGCCCACAAGCGGGTATTACATACATTACAAGTTTTTACGTGTGGAAACCCCCTCGGGGCCGAATGCTGCCATCCGCCCGCCTCCGTCCTCTGAGGCCGCCATGGCGTGCCCTATTCTGGGCGGTCATAGCAAGAGGTCTTCCGTCTTAGGACTTCCGTCCAGGCTACCCGTCAATTTTTTAGCCTAGGGGAGCAGTATTTTTAACCGACTTCAAAAACGAGGAGGTTATGAATTCGAATGTTGATATATATTTTTTATGTGTGTTCGTGCATAACTCCGTCATATATAGACGGATTTTCAAAAATTCATTTTTCGTTCGAAAGGGGTTTATTCCAAAATGGTTCCATTGAAATTTCATATGGATCTCATGATGAGTTTCGGAGACAAACAACGGAAATCTTCAAAACATGACACCAAATCAACCGCTATTGCTGGTTGGGTTTAGTGATCTTGTTAGTATTGTTTGAAGTCGGTTCAACTTATTTTTAAAAAGGATTTATACTTCATTTAGTCTTTCGCTTTGCTAAGAAGGGAAGTGGATTTATTTTAAATATATTTAATAAATAGTGAACTTTCTTCTGATATTCCGTCCGGGATATTTTTATCCAGTCCAAGAAGTAAAGAGCTTCTACGATTGTTAGGCCCGGTTTTCTAGTTAGATCTACTGACTGTGTAGACTGTTGTAACTTCTCAAGTATTATACGAGTATTTATATTATTTTGAAAGCAATTTATTAGCTATCTTTTGATACGAGGCTTAAATATTAAGTGCGACTATTGTGTAACATAACATATTATTAATTCGGTGTAGAATATAAGTCTCCGCTTTTTAGTATTTAATACGTAGTTAACAACATAGTCTTACAGTTTACGCGTGCTCGTTCGTTCTTCTAACCACGGCTTAGCTCAATAATACTTAGGACTAGTACTATCACGAACTTTTAATTTGGCACACATATTTAATACACTGAAAAATTGGTAAAATAAAATTAAGTTACCAAGTGTTTATCGTTGAAATGAATAAAAAAAATGTTATCTGTTAGTTGTTAATTAATTGTTTTGTAATATAGATTGCGAACGACGTTAAGAAGACAAACTTTTCCTACTGTTCTATGTACAAAGATGATAAAAAAAAGCGACTCTACCATTAAAAAAAATCATATCTTATACCATTTTAACCTTTTATCAAATTGCGAGGAGAGGTTACCTACACACAGAGTAAATCAATTTTATTGACTCTCTAAGTCTTCTAACTAAAAAATCACTAGATTTTATTTCACTAGTTTATTTCATTATACTATTAGCTTATTCAACCAACTTTGTCCTATAAACCTTTAAATAAATATGTAAATTTTGTATGTAAATTATGTGTGTATATGTATGCGTGTAATGATATATGGTAGTTAAACTTTATAACTACTATTACAACTGTAACCTCAGTGAATCTACCTTACCTGATTTCTATAACACCCAAAGTTTGGTTGGTAGATTAAAAAAAAAATACAAAGCGTTTCCAATTCCGCTTAAAATGCCCAGCTTATTGCAATGCATAACTTACTTGGACTAATAATAGTAACTCTCCAGTGAATAGTTTTTTTTAATGCTATTTAATTATCAGTTCTCATAATTAAATAAATTCGTAAACACATACTATTAGAAGTGATTGGCTGACCTTATATTAATAATAAATTATAAATATTCAAGAAGTTGTGATTAAAAAAAACTTTAAACAAACAAAGACACAGCTTACCTTTATAACGGTCCGGCATTGCAACGACTATACTGAGAGTAAACCCACAGATGTATAAGAGTGTGTAACACCACATAATTCTCACGAGTAGTTATTACAACACCGATCAGCTCACTATATACGTCACTTTGTATCTGTAACAACACAAACATACTATGTACTTTTATTCTAAATTTATATGCGACGATATCGATTCTAGTTATCATTTGATTTGGTGACGTAGACGCGAGTTAAATAACCTGGTTATACATCGAAGATTAACGCGATAGTCGCGATTTTTTATTACTTTTTGGGTACATCATCCAAAACACTCGTAACACCGAATCGAATGCAGTCTTGAGTTAACCGATGAACCATCCATTACGAAAACATTGTTTAACACGCTTTTATTAGCTTGGTATTGGCTTGGTATTGTATCTATGTGTGTAACGGTATCTTCGAACGTGATTTTCACCCACTTCAAAACGTCGAATTAACTTGAAACTTCACACACTTATCAAGAACCGATGACAATACAATAATTTGATAAATTTGGCAGATTATCCTGATTAGGATCTTCAGGATTAACTTCTAGTAAGTAGGATAAACGTTACTAGTGTATTTTGCTACGTATTAAGAGGCGTGTGCTGAAGCATATGTGACTTACTTACTTTACGTTACTTTTTTAGTCTTAATGAGAAAATAAACATCATTAATGACTAAAAATAAATTATAGTTTAAAAAACTAAATAACAAGCTTTTGTAATTAGCCGAACTAAAAAGTAGAAAATAATTTTCTGCTTTTCAAGATATTTTGTAATATAATAACCTTATTTTTACCAATATCTGTCAATAAAATATTTTTAACAACAATTGTGATCTAAAATTATTTTCTACTTTTTAGTTCGGCTAGTTATAAAAGCGTATTTTATTTAAGGTTTTAAGCTATGATTTATTATTATTTAAAAGATTCTAAGAGACTACCAACATCGTACTTTGGCCAAGAAATTAACAGCAATCAGATTTTGTTTGCTATTTTGCAACAGATTCAAGTAAACGAAGAAAATTCACCAAACATGAACACAGTGCCCATTCATCAGCAGGCATTCTTTACAAACCCTTTCAGTAGACCTTAATGTGTTTACCAAAGTTGATGGCAAGAGTAAGTACATATTTCCGTATTAGATTTAACTCACTCGAGTAAGCGCATATATGTATATAGGCCTCGCTGTGGTGAGGTCCCTTCCATCTGAGAGATTTGGGTACCTTGTATAGCGGATTGTTTTAGTAGAAGTTAACGTATGATTGAGAAAAATAATCTCCATTCATTATTACCTTTTATTATTAATAATTAATATTAGTAAATTGCATGTTTCTCGGTGCACATTTGCATAAAAAGGGGTAAGTAAAGGTGTTTTTCGGCACGAATTAATGTAATGATATGCATAGAGAGTAATTCTTAAATAAGACAAGTTAACATACTTAAAGAAATTTACGCTACTACATACTGTATGATGGTGTACCGGTTAATTAAACTACAAAGCAAAATATTATCTAATATTATTAACTTAAAATAACAATGTGGTCTTATCTGCGTGATAGTTTTTGATTTTGTCTGTTTATTTTTAAACCAATGATGAAATTGAACATTGTTGTATGTATCGACCTCGCACCATTGATCTTTAACATGAAACAAAATATATAGTGCGTCTATTCCAACCCTTGCTTTGTTAGGATGAAACTGGCTTACTAAGGCGAGCCTTTTTGATCGTCTTTATACACCAGCTCCCAATGCTCCAGTCTCACTATTTTTTTTTTTTAACTTAAATTTATGAATTAAATATTTTTATAAACTTTAATAGGTTTTTTTAATTAAATTATCATTGTTATCTCTTACCTAAAACGTGTACGAATTTTATATAAAGTTACTTGTGTCCAAACATAGATACTAATTGTAAGTTAAAGATAACATTATTTGTACTCACCACAGATTATACTTCGATTATATAATCATCTGTATTAACGCGTCCGGTCTGTAACTTCAGTTCACTAGACAATATACAATGAATCCCATATAAATGGTTATATGTATATATAGTAATTTACTTGCTGAAGGTGAATCCCCTTTGGAGAGCTCAAAAACAGCGATGAACTGTAGAGCTATTGGTTCCGCTGTTTATCAGAGAGTTTATTCTTTTATTAGTGTTATAAAATGGGTGATAAATATTCGATTTATATAGATTATTATTTAATCTTTTGATGACCAAGTTATACATTTTGATATATACCTAAGTATCTGATATTATAAATAGAAATCTGTGTATGATTTTCAGTCGGTTGGAATATTTTTACGTAATTGAATCTGACTTTGATTTGAGTGAAACTTAAAATCATGCCTGTGCCTGCCTGTGCTATGGGAATCAGTTTGGTGATAAACATACTTATATAAATTTCTAAATACATATTATAAACTAAGTACTCCAGGACAGAACAAAATGTTTGTCATCATCATCAACAGCTTTTAACAGTTCACTGTTGGACATCGGCTTCTCCTTAGCAAGGAGGTTCTGGCCTACTATCCCACACTGGCCAGACGGGTTGGTATATGGTTTGTGACAAGTTTTCCTTCTCTTTGCAGTGCTGTTGTGCTGCGTAGTTTGCTCCCTTAGTTGGCCTACGACTTCGGGCTTAGAAATCAGGATCAGTAAACACTAGACAAACATACAATCGAATATTATGTCTGCGTGTAACTATACTCTCCTTTACAATTATTGCAAAGGAAAAAGTTAACTCAAAACTAGACACTCGTAGCTTGTATTAATAATACTAGGTATTTATAATAATAGCTTTTTAGTACATTAATTATTTTTATTTTGGGTAATCCAGCAACCGGCTATAAATGACAAGGTGCTCCTATCCATGGACGTCAAAGCATCAGATTGCAAGATGACTGATCGGGGAGTATGTTCGCCTCAGCAGAAACTGGAAAATTATTTTTTTTACGGCATAGAGAGTAATTGCTTACTACTACGCCACGCTGCTTACTACTACGCTGAGTGTTGTGGGTTCGATCCCCGAATGGGACGACACTTTGTGTGATTCACAAATTGTTGTTCTGAGTCTGGGTGACTCCGTGACACAGGATATGTTCCTAATGCGGCAGTTGTCTTTTTAAAGCCACCAAATAAATGATAAAACAAAAAACCGTGGCACTCCGGGACTGCCGACGGAAGTGAAAACATGTTTTTTTTTTTTATAAAAATAAAAAAATTCAGTGTTCAAGGTTTCACTTCCAAAGCGGTTATCATATTGTTTTTTTCGATTCGAAAAGTTCGGACATGAATATATATCTATGTTGCACGTATACACCGTGAATTTGTAGTTATCGTCCAAACTTTTTTTAGGCACTAGACATTATTTAATGGTTTTCTGTTAATAAAAAAAATATAATAATAATATTATATTATTGTTATTATATTATTTAAGATGAGAAAAAACCATTGAACTCGCTATAAGCTTGCACAGTTTTTTTTATTAGACACATCGCAGGTCAACGGTGGACGACAACCGCTTTGAACTGACCTTCTGGAAGGCATTCAGGGAGGTGTATGTCCAGCAGCGGACGTCTTATAGTGGATATGATGATGATTATGATGACGATGACGTCAAAGTTGATGATGTTAAGGGGTCTCACAATCATACAAGATAGGGTGTTTTTTTTTGTATAAGAACGTTAATCCAGCATATTATTTAAGTTTATCAGCAAAGAAATTTAATAATGGCAGGGCACATAGCAAGGAGAACTGACGGCCGATGGGGCAGCAAGGTTCTGCAATGGAGACCACGTACTGGAAAGCGCAGTGTGGGACGACCGCTTACCCGATGGACGGACGACCTGGTAAAGGTTGCCGGAAACCGTTGGATGCAGGCCGCAATCAACCGTCCCCGCTGGAAATCATTGGTAGAGGCCTATGTCCAGCAGTGGACAAGCATAGGCTGAGGGGAAAACAAGACCTGATTAATTTGACTTCAATTATTTTTTTGGTGGTATCCGGATGGCAAGCGAGCAAGCGGGTCACCTGATGGCCTATGGCCACATGCAACTATGCCACCCTTTGTTGCCCCCCTCACCCTAGAATGGGGGAGGGGTTTTCGACTCCGGTGACCTCACTCAGTTAAAAGCAACGAAATAATTGCTTAAACGGATTTTTGTGGCTCTCTCACGTCCTAAAATATCCCCTGTACGAGCATGTGAGATTGAGCAATTGAGAGCAATTATCATGAAGGATATTTCTAGATTTACGATCTAGGCCTTAAGGAAACTGTCACTGTAAGTATACTTACATATGCCTACCATTGTTCTCAAACAGATAAGAGGCGATAATGACAAAAACTTTTTTAAATGCGATGGCAGCATAACAGATTTTCAGACTCACTGATAGTTATACCAGCGTGGTATACTAGGCCAAAACCTCCTTTCTAAGGAGAGGCCTATGTCTAGCAGTGGACTATTAGAGGCCGTTGATGATACTTATACAGACACGGCGTTATTTCACACCTGAGTTTATTGAATACCTTATATGTAGGTCCTTTGTAAATACAGAAAAGATTTTTATGTACATATTTTTAAATTATATGGTTTACTACCTGGTTATATGTACTGGTACCTACGTACCTTAACACCCTTCCTTCATCCCTTCGCTTTAGACTAATACTATAAATACAATAAAATGATAATTTTAAAATTTCGCGGTTAATTGTCAGGATTACTGACTAAAAGTCTTTGGGTTATATAGCTTTAAGAGTAGATTTTAGTTAAGTTAAATCACTAGATGGTCAGGTCAGGTCCCACTGAACCCAAATAGGCAGTCGATTGACCGCTATGATTAAGGCATCTCATATACGAGTAACACGTCTTATATCTTATTTATTTTTTATATTATATACTTATGTGCGGTGTTATTTTAGCAATTGGATGAATAAGTTTTTTTTGCTCCTAAAGTATCAAATGTCAAATAAGGTATTCTCGAGGTAAAGTAT